ACATTGCTGCACTCCTTGGGGCTCTCAGACTCTGCCAAATGGCACCCCAGGGATTGAAGTATACCCTGGCCAGCCCAGAGTAGAGGAAATGCAAACACCCTGAGCCCTACTGTTCCTCAGTGCTGGCAAAGGGATGGTGGCTTTAGTACAAAATAACCAAACCAATACACAATCAACCATAACAACTCAGAGGCTATGTCTACACTGTAGCCTTCTTGCAGAGGAAGAATCGCTCTTGCTCAAGAGGGGGTTTTTGCGTAAAAAGGAGCCATCTACATGGCTCTTTTTTGTGCAAACACCTCTTGCACAAAAACGGCTGTTCATTAATTATGCAAATGAAGCGCGGTGATATTCCATGCCGAACTTCATTTGCATAAGCTTTTTCACAAGAAGGCTACGGTGTAGACGTAGCCCAAATGTTCGCATTTTAAGCTGGCCCACATGGGAGCAAACAAGGAGTGTGGGGGGACTGTGTCCTTCCAGGGGATGCTTCCGTATGTGAGATGCTGGTTGGGTATGCCACACTGTCTCTGCCACGGACTATACTAGTAGTTATAGCAGGGATTTAGGAGTCAGGATGCTTGTGTTCTATTCCTAGCTCTGGGATGGAGTGTGGTCTAATGGTTAGGGGAAGGGGGGCTGGAAATCAGGACTCCTGGGATCTAACCACAGCTCTGCAAAGAACAGTAGTCTAGTGGTGAGAGGGGGGAATGCGAGTAAGACATTGGTTCTGCTATTGGCTGTGAAGCCACAGCAACTTCCCCCTGTGCCTCAGTTTCCCTGAATACCTAACATGGATAATAATGTTCCTCCCAGAATGGTGGTAGGGAGTTGAAGATTAGTTAATGTTTTAAAGTGCTTGGAGAGCCTCGGCTAACAGAAACTGCCTTTGACAATATTAATAATCTCCCCACCCTGTTCTCAATGTCCCTTCTGGGGGATCTGGCATGCACAGAGGCCTGTATATCAAAGGTGCAGAGCAATCTGCACAAAGATCTGTGCGTGCACTTGCTAATGGTTTTGATGTCCTCTCCAGCACCCCTATAAACCACGTCACTTCTAGGGACCTCAGCTGTTTGGTGGGTGGATGGAAGAGAAGGTGGGAGGTCTGCAAGGCAGTCGGTCTGGGAACTTCCCAAGCAGGCCTTGGCAAGTGGGGAGCCAAGGCTCACGTGGCACGTGATCAAACTCCCTATTTGTTACATTTACAAATGAGCGCCTGGCATTTTCTGTGGCTCCATGCACTGCCGCCTCCTCTCTGAGTGGCTGAGTTTTGCAGCTCGTGCTAGGTTTTTTTTCTCCCCGGTTGTTTGTCTCATTTGAAACTTTGTCGCTGTTTCTCAAACCGCCTGAAGGTGTCGGGGATTTTTCAAGCTATTTTGAATCTAGTTTTTCCCAGATGGTGTGTTTTTTTTCTCAATGTAACTTTTTTTCTTCTTCATAAAGTTTCCGCCCATGTGACTTTCAGCTTACGTCCCTTGCTGCTTCCGAGAAACCACAGGAGCCTTAGACATCACGGCAAGGTGCACTGACAGAGGAGAGAAGTGTAGGGAGGGACTGGGTCAGAGTGGCAGAGAAAGTGACACAAGGAGAGCGACAAAGTGATAAAGGGAGGGACTGGGAAAGAAGCAAAGAAAGTAACCAAGGGAGAGAGGCAAAGGTGGCAGGGGAGGGGTGGGGTGAAGAAAAGCCTAAGGAAACCACAATTACCAAGGACACAGAGGAAGCAGAAGAGGCGCCGAGCTGAGGGAGACTCGAGCCATGCCCCATAGCTCTGACAGCAGTGACTCCAGCAGCTTCAGCCAGTCACCCCCACCTAGCAAACAGGTAACACTTTGAATTCTTTCCACTCATGCTGTCATCCTGGGCTGTTTTCACAGCACAGAATAGCAGGGCTTACTAGGAACCAGCCTGGGAAGAAGCACACTAATGCAGTCATACGTGCACTCACTCCACTTAGACAGTGGAGTACAGAATTTGCAGCAAACAGGGAATTACTGTGCTTTAAAGGTCCATGTCGTGTCTATGCAGGCACTTGCAAAGCGTCCTGGCTTGCGCTAGTGCAAACTAAACCCCACATATAAACCAGGCTACAGAGAGCTAAGCAGGAAGCCCCACTGCAGGAACAAGCTTAAAACCAAGATAGAGTGAGGAGTGTTTTTGCAGAGGAACCACGTTTGCACAGGCCACGAGGGGCGGCACCTGAAATGCCTGGTTCTGATTGCAGGGGCCACTCCACAAACTCCAGGCATCCAGCAGCTTGGGAGCTTGGTAACGTGAGAGTGTCAGTATCTCTACAGAGTCCCTGTTGTGGGCTCTGGGCCTACCCACTCCTCATATATGGCCATGAGGGCCTCATTCTAAATCCAAATCCTTTCCAGGTCATCAGACATCACTTAAGGCGTGAAAAGGCTCCACTACCCTTGTCTAGTCTGTGCTGTTCTCTGCTCCTTCGCTGTCTTGTTAAGTCCAATAGGCTTTGCTTCTTTCAATGCTGTGGTATGGTGGGATCCTTTAAGTAAGGCCTTTGGCATGTTCCTCTCACTGTCCAGTGGCACATCTGCCATGGGGTTATTAAAATGTGTCCCGGATTATTCCATCTTCTTTTTGGGAAACCTGCATTAGTAACTTTATTGTTTGCTAGCTGTTAACCACATGGTGCTGCACAGGACACCACATATGAAGGACCTTGCCCTCAAGGAGCTTATAGACAAAGACCGAGTAGGTGGTGCTGGGTGAACAGCCAGGGATTTGGAGAGCACTCTGTGTCTAGAAGAAGGGAACAGGGCACAAAAGCAGTCAAGGGGGGAGTAGACAAGTGGGTATCAAGTCTGACATTTTCAGTGCAAAGGCCTAGAGGGTGATTAGGTAAGAGACTAGGCTGGATATGTTGGCTGGGGGGGGGGAGCAGATGATGAAGGAAATTGACAGTAAGGATGTGAGGTTTAAATTTGAGGAAATAGAGAGATCACAAAGTGGGGGTGGGGGGGAAAGGGACACACTGATCCAGGAAGATAGCTCTAGAGGCTGCATTTTACAAGCAGAGGACAGAGGTGGTGTTTGTGTTTGAGAGTCCAGAGAGGTAGCAGTTCCAGTGGGAAGACAGAAGATGATAGGGTCTGATGAGGGTTTTAGCTGTCAGGGGGAGTGGGACAATCAGTTCTCAACAGAAAACCTTCCATAGTAATAACAGCAATGCAAGGTAAAACCAGAGTGGCTGCTGACTGAAGCTGAGGGGTGAGATCTTCAAGCAAAGAAACCTCATATTCCAGAGCTGGGAGGCCATAGCTCTTCTCTGCATAACTCTGGTGAAAATGTGACCTTGAATATTGCTGATGATTCCAAATATCACATTAGCACCAAAACATTAAAATGCAGGGAGTTCAGAGATGAACAAACAACTTGATCAGGGGTCTGGAGTGACTGAATCAGTGGGAAAGATAAAACAGTTGAGCCTGTGTACCTGAGCTAAGCAGTGACATAACTCTGCAAATGTGTGAAACAGATAAACCCAAGTAGAAGAGGAATTATTTATTGACATATGGGAATTTGAAATAATAGAATGAAATGAAGAAAGACAAAAAACAAGCTGAATGCCAGGATCGACTCCCTGGCAGCAAAATAAGTCAGGCAGTGGAGTCATCTCCCAGGGGAAAAGGTGTGAGCCCCATTGGCATGAGCCCTAGAAACTCTGTGGCACAAAGAATAAAAAAAGTGATGTGTAGGGGCATGGAGTGGGTGATCCATCAGGTTTATTTTTTCATCTCTGACTCCTGTGGTTCTGCAGGTTTTAGTCCAAGCCTGTCCCATGGAGACAAAGGAATATTCACTTGCCAGTTCTACCAGCATGTCAAGATTTTGAATTACATCACAGGGAGTGGTTGTTAAGTGCTTCATACATCCTTGTAGTGGGAGAGCACCTCTACCTTGGTTTTGCATTGATGCTGTGTGTCAGGCAGGGATATGTGGCTAGAGGAGTGGGTGGGATGATCTGTGCTGAGAAGAATGTTCTCCTGTGTCTGTTCTGAACCCTGTGCCCCTCACCTCATGCTTTTCTGTGATAGTGGAGGTGATGTCTGTTATTCCTAGGCCCTGTATTTTTCAGGATTCTTCAGATGACATGAGGAAAGTTCAGAGAAGGGAGAAGAATCGCATTGCAGCTCAGAAGAGCCGACAGAGGCAGACCCAGAAAGCAGACACATTGCATTTGGTAAGAGCTTCCATTCTCTGTCCATCTGGCTCACTGGGACCTTGCACACATAAGGGGACATGTTCTAGCACAGATGAACACACAGCAGAGCCATTGAGTTCAGGCAGGGGCAGAAACCGCATGGGCCAGCATAGCATGGGATGGCAGCACACGCAGCAGCTGGACAGTGAAGTTGAAGGGTGCTCCTGCCAGGAGCAGCGAGATGTTCCTTTCCAAATGGAAAATGTGTATGCTGTTGAAAGCCCAAGCCCCTCCTATAGGTTTCTCCTCATATGTTGCTGTTCTCTAGACCTTTAGTTTCTGCTTTTGGGGATGAGGTGGTGGAAGCTGAGTGCAGGATCCTGGGCTGGGTGAGTGGAAGGAGAAATGTACCTCCCTTCATTAATGTGTCTGTCCCATAATAGTCTCCATTCAGTAATAACACCTTGCTGATCCTGCTCCCACACATACCAATGGAAATTTTGTCCCTTGCTGCAGTGGGAACAGGGTGAGGCCCCTTTGTTTGCAGTTTTGATTGCTGTTGATTGCAGTAAATGCCTTCCCTGGCAGGTGACATCACCTATATTTCAGACCCAGCAATGTGCTCCTTCCTTTTGCACTTATCCACTCCGAATTTCTTCTGCCTAGTCACCTCGTCTTATGAGGTCCCTCAGGAGTTCATCCCTATTCTTGATCAGTCTTATTAATTTGGTGTCATCAGCAAATGTTACTACCCTTCCCACTCATTTGATAAATACAGTGAATAGCTATGCTTTACGTCTGATTTCTGAGGGACTCCATTATTGACCGCTGTCTGAGCAGTAAATTGCCTACACAGTCCTACTATTTGCACCCAGTTTTTAATCTGTGGCAAGACTTTACTTCTTGCCCTGAAATTATCAAAAATTTCAGAGGGGTAGCTGTGGTAGTCTGTAACTGGAAAAAAATTAAAAAACAACAAATAGTCCTGCAGCACCTTGGAGACTTACAAAAAATATAGATGGTATCATGAATTAGGCTGTACCCACAAAACCTCACAATACCATCTACACTTTTTGAAACAAAAGACAGAACTATGCAGCACTTTAAAGACTAACAAGATGGTTTATTAGGTGATGAACTTTCGTGGGCCAGACCCACTTCCTCAGCTTCCACTTCCTAAACCCACGAAATCTCATCACCTAATAAACCATCTTGTTAGTCTTTAAAGTGCTACATAGTCCTGTCTTTTTTCAGCAAGACCAGACTAACACGGCTACATCTCTATTACTAATCTACACTTTTTGTTAGCCTTTAAGGTGCTGCAGGATTATTCATTAAAAAAATTTTTTTTTTAAATTATCAAGTTACCTTTTTTGAATTACTTTCTCAAAAATCCTCTAAAAGCCTAAATATGCAAGACCTCACACTCCCTGGTCTTGCATTTCTTGTCACCTTTTGTATCCATGCAAAGAGCACATAAAACACTGCTCTTCTGACTTGGTAGCATTTTATGTTTGCTGTGCATAGGTTTTAATGATGATATAATGTGCCAAGACATGGACAATCAAGGCTTAGAGCTGAAAAGAACCATTAGGTCTCTTCTAGTCCATTCTCTGACACCTACAGAGAATAGTTCTTCATTGTATGCTTTACTAGAGTTTTGTCCAGTTTCATTTTAAATGTCCCCAGCAGTGAAGCTCCTATCCATTCCCTTGGGAGACAGCTCCACAGCTGAATACTTTGTACAGTGCTATTATCTGGCATACATCTTGCCTTTCTTAGTTTACCATATTGCTACACTAGGACTGGGCAATGGGAGGAGGCCTGGGCTATTGGCTCCCGTTTACTGCCCTGGGCCACTTTTCTCAGTGTAAGGAATTTGGCATCTACCCCATAACACTAGGTAGCAGGCATGGCCAGCGCTGTGGCAGTGGTGTCAGAATTGTTGTGTTTGTGTAACTAAATCTGAGATGTATTGAGAAAGTTGCTTTCCTCTACTTCTGCTTGGACCCTGGGCACTCATGGCTGTTGAAGTGCAGCAGAGAGGCTGTGGGGCCTGTTGTTGTTGGGAGTTATTAATGCCTCCCCCTGCAGGAAGCCAGACTGCACTTTACACTGCTTGAGAAGCTGTCCCTTGACCTTAGCAGTCTTCACACCCCCACTCTTGGGAAGATTATAGAACAAGTGATGTTGGAGACACTTCTGCCACATCCTGATTGCACAGGAGTCGTCAATGCTGCTTTAGTAGTGGGTTCATTACAGGGATGGTGTTGCTTGCTCCATGATGATTTAATTAGCTCTGTCAGTGTCCTTTGACACCAGGCTAGTAACTAATCTGCTGCAGCTCACAGCCAAGGGTGGGAGAGCCTCTCTGTGGATTTGTTATTTTCTCCCAGGGCCTCCAGAG